TCTCTCTCTCTCTCTCTCTCTCTCTCTCTCTCTCTCTCTCTCTCTCTCTCTCTCTCTCTCTCTCTCTCTCTCTCTCTCTCTCTCTCTCTCTCTCTCTCTCTCTCTCTCTCTCTCTCTCTCTCTCTCTCTCTCTCTCTCTCTCTCTCTCTCTCTCTCTCTCTCTCTCTCTCTCTCTCTCTCTCTCTCTCTCTCTCTCTCTCTCTCTCTCTCTCTCTCTCTTTATATCTCTCTCTCTCTCTCTCTCTCTCTCTCTTTCTCTCTCTCTGCTTCAGATGTTTGCAAAGAAAAATACTACTGTTTTGTCAAATTACCGGGGCTAGTTGTCACATGGTTTTATTTTTCATATTTGTTTTTTAATGATTTATTTGCCTAAAAATACCTATAAAAATGGCAGGTTTCATTATGACAACTTATACTATAGTGGGACAACCATAAGCTGCTGTCGGGGCAAGTTGTCACAAAAGGTGTGTGTTCAGTGTTTCCTCTATCCTGTGCAACAGCAGTGAAAATGTTGAAACATTTTTTTGTGCACTACAGTTTGTGTATATGAGTTTTTTAATTTTTTTTTAATTGTGTGTATATATTTGTGTATATATGATCTAAAAAAAAAAAACCTCAATATTCATTTAGAAATATATTAGAAATATTCACTTGAGTGAAAATGATTTAGTTCGCTACATCTATAAATACTGGGCATGTTTATAATAAAAATAAAAATGCATATATATCAATGCATATATCAAACTTCAGCTTATTTTGTGTTATTAGATCAACAGCATGACTTAACTTTTTCTGACAGGACTCCAGTCAGTAATACCATCAATTCTTGAAATTCTTTTCTTTTTAAAATGTTCTCCTCTTTTTGTAACAGAAACACACCGGAGATGTTTTATTCTCTTTATTCTCTGAACACTGGTCACGTGACGTCTGTACTCACCGGTGCTGTTTCTGTAGGTGCGTACGGTCGTTGTGGTCGTGGGCGGCGGTGAATCAGAATCCACTGACGCCGTGTCGTCGTCTTGAGAACAGCCGGCCTGAATGGCACGAAGGTAACTATGGCTTCGGGAGCGGAAGCATGTGGGCATGGGCATGTCAGGAGGATCGCTGCATCGTGAGTGAGGATGCATGTCTTCCAGCTCATCTCCATAATGCTGGCTCAACTCCATGTCTCGCACCTGCTGGGACAGTGGCAGGTGATGTGGGCTGGCATGACTGGAAAATAACTGTGACGGGTGCATGGCTATGTTCAGAATGACATTACTGAATACTGCGCAGTATGCATTATATACACACTGGCCGCCAAAAGTTTGGAAGAATTAAGATTTTAAAATGTTTTTGAAAGAAGACTTTTATGCTCAGCAAGGCTGCATTTATTTGATCAAAAATACAATAAAATCAGAATTATTGTGAAATATTATTACAATTTACAATAGCTGTTTTCTATGTGAATATGTGTTAAACTGTAATTTATTTCTGTGATCAAAGCTGAATTTTCAGCATCATTACTCCAGTCTTCAGTGTCACATGATCTTCAGAAATCATTCTACAGTTGCTCTGATTTTACAGCACAGTTTGGAAAATGTAGTAGGGCATTCATGTACTGCATTCATACTATCAAAATGCAAATAAATATGTAATAATGAAAAAAACACTGCATAAATGCAATTATACAGAAAATGTGCAAACTATGCGCAGCATGCATACTGCACAAAGAGTAGTACACTATTCTGAACACAGCTATTAAAGTCTGCTAAGAAGTTAGTAGAAATGCACAGTCAAAATTGACAGGTGACATCAAGAAGTAGGAAGATTAAACATTCTAGTATTGTAGCTATTATATTTGGTTATGTGTGTGCGTGTGTTTGAAAACCTCATGAGCCCAGAGCATTTGTGTCAGTTTAAAGCTGCAGTCCGTAACTTTTTTTGGTTAAAAATGATCCGAAATCAATATTTGAGCAAGTACATAACCAGCCAGTGTTCAAAACTATCGCCTTACTTTAGCCCGATTCACAACGGTTAGCTTATAATAATGTTTTCTAATTTGAGTGGTACGGGTAGGTTTTCGTGGGAAATTTGAGCATGGCACTGCATCATTACGTCACGTCTGTAAACAAAGAAGTTGTCCCGGCTACTAGACTATCACATGTGAGGATCCTGCAGGCGGCCGATCGCTTATAGCCTTTTCTCACAGCAGCCGGAATAATTAAATGTATCATTTTGATGGCGGATTGTAATCCAGAAAGAACTATGTGTTTATGAAACTATAAAATTAAATTATATTCCAGTTTTAAATGTGCTTCTGATTACAGATAGCCTGGGATTACAATTGGAGATTAGACTGTACAGAAATTGAAATCTACTCGCTTATACACACTATACTCATAGTCACGCAATGCTGATGTTGTTTATGAAACACATGTGAATGAAATTAAATTATATTCCAGTTATAAATGTGCTTCTGATTACAGATAGCCTGGGATTACAAAGATTTATATTTTAAAGAAAACCAGTTTGAAGGGAGCATAATTTGCTTTTTGGGTTCAAAGAATTTCTGAATATGAAATTCGAAGAGTATGACAATTAGACTAGACTGTGCAGAAATTGAAATCTACACGCTAATACACACTATACTCATAGTCACCAATGCTGATGTTGTTAACATTAATCATTTGAGAATAAAGTATAACAATAATAATCATTTGAACGGTTTCATGTGATATGAGCTAACCAATCTTTAGATTTAAACACCATTGGTAGCGAGATTTACGGTAATGCTTTTTTCCTCAGTTGGTCAGAACAAACGTGGCAGACTTGTTACTTACTTGTTCAGATGGCAATATACGTCGAAAATGCTTATTTGAGTCATATATTCCAAGACGTAGGCTAGAATCTGTGATTCCGAAGTACAGTAAATATCCACACCGGTGCAGCGACTGACTGCCACACATATACTCTTCAGAACATTAGATTCATCCGCGCTGGAGCCGTGCCGACTCAACAACCCACACAAGCTAGATAATTCCACACATAGCTGCAATTCCAGGTTTCCAAACAGAGATGGCGACAAAGAGGCAAAACTTACGGACTGCAACTTTAATTACTTATTAGTCGTTGAGCTGATGCATTTCTCTAAGCTGTGTGAGCTGTGATGGACCATTTGTATAATCTCAAATGTCACAAGTGACACACTGATAAATCAGCCCATTTCTTAAGTTATTTAACAGAAAGACTGTCATTATATTCAGTGCAAATTACGCATCTTCATCCTCATCTGCTAGTCGTGTCCTATAATGAACTCAAAGGTCATGAGGGGTCTGACCTGACTTATGCAGCTGCCGCGTCCCAGCGTGCTGCAGCCCTGACTGAAGTCGTCATCATCCCAGTTTGGGAACGGAGAACTGCCTCCGATGCAGTCCAGGTTATCCAGACTGCGATTCCCAGAGTACTCTCGCAGAGAAGGAAGACAGCTGAGGACAGGAAGGGGACCGGGGTCACAGAGGGAAGAGAACAGGCAGGAGATGAGAGAAAGGACAAAAGCAGCGAAAAAGTGCTTTATTGTCTATTACAGGGGTTTTCAAACTGGGGCCGGGGACCCCCAGGGGCCACAAGGGAGTGCTGGGGGGGCCAGTGGAAATATTTAGAGGAAAAGTGTAAAAAAACAAAATAGAAATAGAATAAAAGATAAAAAAATAAATGTATATAATTGCAAGATAAAAATAAATAAAAATAAGGTGAAAATAAATAAACAAAATTGGATTTAACAAATTAATAAAATATATATTAATTTAAAAATAGAAAGAATTGTAAACTATTTAAATAAAAATAAAACATTAAATAAATAAAATAAACCAATAAAAGTGAAACAGTGTAAAAATAAATAATAAAAAAAGATTAAAATATTTTTAAATATATTTTAAAATATGTAAAAATAAGATGGAAATTAACATATAAATTAAATCACATTTAAATAAAAAAATACAAATAAGATTAAACAAAAATAAAAATTTGATTTAATGAAATAAACAGAAATTAGATTAAAATAAATAAATGAAAGTAATAAATAAATAATACATCTAGTACAGTACTATAATGAGTAGAAACAATGATTATGATATAAATTTTTCACAGTATAAATTGGTTCTTTATAAAAGACACTATATGCCTTTTTGCTATTAGGATGGGGGTCCCTCGCACGAGGATGATTAAATTTGAGGGTCCGTGGCATCTAAAAGATTGAAAACCCCTGGTCTACTATACAAAAAGCACATGGAAATGGAGAAGCTGTAACAAAACTACTGAAGAAGCATTTACATATTAGGAAATGTACCATCTTTCCAGTTTTTTTTTTTTTAATGAACCCATCCATCTTTTCATCATCCATCCATCTATCACAGCTGATTTGTGTCATTAGCCTGGTGAACACAGGAGATTGCTGCTCTAAAATAAAAACCACAGTTTCCTCAAATAGTTTGACGATCCAGTCAGACTGAAGCAGCACAGCTAATGACCAATCAGCAAAGTACTCCATTCTAGTTTACATTCAGTGTCCAATCAGAGCTCTTATAGCAGTCAGGGTGAGCATTAGAAGCGCTGAGGAGGCTTTCTCTCTCTCCAAATCGCAAACCACTTGTCTGCAATGGTGCAATGCAACCAAAGCCCAAACATCGGATCTGTCCACAAATGTGCTGTATGGAGAAAACCACCTCAGACTAAACATCTCAGAGTAGGAGAACTGTTTCAAGCATTAATAGTGACCAATAGTAAACCAATTTTCAATCAGCACTCCTAATTTGAGAGGAGTTCAGGAAAGCAGCACTGGTGCGACGACTCCTTTGTGCGGTCAGTGAGGAGCTGCGGTCGGTCGGACAGATTTCTCCTCACTGCACTGACCTGACAGAGCGTCCGATCTGCTGCAGGGTGCTGATGCTGTGGAGGGGGGACCAGAGAGCCTCCAGATCCCCCTGCAGCATCGAGTAGTCCAGCAGACGGCTGGAGAGAAGGCAGGGTTACAGGGTGAGACGGGGAGGAGCTTACAGTGCAGAAAGAGGGCGGTGCTTAAAACAGAAGAGGCGGGGCTTCAAACCAACAAGTTTAAGACATTAAAGGGAAACTTATAGAAGTTGAAAAACACACAGAGAGACAAACACTATGTTCAGAACAGCATACTAACATACTGCTTTTACTATTCCAGCACTACATAGTACTGTGCACAATATGCAACAATTCTGTATGCATATAATACCTGAATAATGTACTATATTTGCTCACTATGCAATGCAATTAATAAAGCAGCAGTCATTTTTTAAATCTATTTTTTGAATCATTATTTGATTGAACTGGCAAATATATTTTTACACAAAATTGAATTATTATGACAACTGGATGCTACTCACATGCATGGTGAGGAGGTCATGTGACAACAATATAGCTTATTATCCATATTATGTTTCATTTACTTTTTTAAAGTTTAATAATGTTTAAAAAATTGTTTATTTCATTTGCTATTATTAAAAATAATAATAATCAGAATACAGTGTAAACTGCAAAGTATTTGGTAAGCAATAAGCTAGTATGCCATTGCAAACATAGTCTAAACAATCAGGGTTAGGAGAGGAAGGTAAGAGCTATTAGGGACAATCTCAGCAAAACATGAACACAAAACTGAAAGTATAATATAAAAAAAATATTGCACAAAAATCCTATTATTCTACAATTAATAATTCTATTATTTCTTTATGATTTTTAACAAAAACTTAAAATAAAGCTAAAATAAAAATAAAATGTGAATATGAAATGAAAAACTTTAACTTAAAAACTTGAACAAGAAATATTGACCTCTAAAATAACTAAAACTAAAATAAAAAAATAAATAGAAATAATAAAAATTAAACAAAGCACATAACAAAATAATTAAAACCTACACTATAAGTCAAATGAAAACTGAGAATATAAAAATAAAAGCTCATTCAAAATATAAATAAATACTACTGCAGTAGTAGTATATATTTAGTAAAATATTTAGTTTTACTAAAACAACACTGCACTCTAATAAAGTAACGAGATTCATCCTGAACAGACACAATATTTGTTTGATTTAAATCAGCATAAATGAAACGCAGCACAACAAATATAGCAAATACTTTACAATTTATACTAAACTCCATTATTGTTTGAATGAGACTTCTTGATGTCAAATTTGATTTAGAACCACATTTAAAAGTGACCCAAATGGATGTGGAAAAAAATAAACTCGTGTTTTTGCAATTATTTCATGTACAACCCAACCCAGTGGAAAAAAAATAAATAAATCACAGTTGGTTGACAGTGCCAATAGAGACTTCATGTCCATAAACTAGCAACTTTACTGCTCAAGACCAAAAAGATGAGATTTCTTTACATGTGAGCAGCAGAAAGGTTGTGTGAGGCTCAGCATATGCAGGAGGAGAGAGACTAGCTGTGCTTAATCTAGCAGATGAACAAGCACAGCTGGATTCTGATGCATGTATGTGAGAGAATCAACACCGATAAACTCATCCTGATCCAGAAGGCATGAAATAACGGAGCTCACACCTTAGATGGGGTCTCTGGCGTCGTGGCAGACCACCAGTGAGTGTTTCTGTGTTTGTACCAGTGTTAATTTAGATTTAGTTTTAGTCATAGTCTTTTGACTAAAATGCCATTTAGTCTCACTTAAGACGTAATCAACTGTGTTTATGTGAATACTCGTCAAAACGGACAATTCGACATCATTTTGTGTGCAATTCTCCGTTCATGCGACGCGAAAGAGTACTCGCTCGCTGTGAGAGGCGCTTTCTGTGTGTGTGTGCATCAGTGTCTGCGCTCAGAAAACCAGACCGAGTTGAGTTCTCTCTTGCATCGTCAGATTTATCCATATGTCTGCTCTTCTCTTACTCCCACATATTGAAATTTTTGAGCGTTTTATGCGACGTGCAGCAAGTGTATGTTAGCTTATGTCCCGCCGGTTCATATGTACGCATCTAACCTCCGAACCACGCAGCAGATTCGTTCTGAATGAATCTCTTTCCAAATCGTCCCTCCCTAACATTTTCGTCTCGTTTTTATTCGTTGACAAAAATGTCAATAGATTTACGTCATAGTTTTTGTCATTCAAAAAGAGTTTTAGTTCGTTATCGTCTCGTTGTCGTCGGCGAAAAAAATTACGAAAATGATTTGTCAACGAAATTAACACTGGTGCATATGTGAGTTTTGTTTTAATAATGAACAGAAACAATATGTGCATGTATTGATCATATACTGTGTTGACTTACTTTCTTGAGGGGAACTGGTCACTTAGTGATTGCTGTGTTGCGCGTAAGTAGCTCTGCCTCCGTGCGGCACATTTCGGCGAGGGTTTGGGACTCCCGTCGGAGTCGTCGCTATCCTCAAGGTCGCCCATGGCTTTGACGTAACTGCCGCTACGCATTCGTCTACAGGGGATCTCGCCCATGGGCCCGCTTCGGCCCAGAGTCCCCGTCCAGTCGCCGGTGGACGGCATCTGAACAAACATCAGACAGACACTGCAGATGCACATTCACAGGCCTTCTGATTTACAGACTACAAGCTTCACAATAAAGCTTCCAGAAGGTGGTTTTCACAGTAATGCCATTGAAAAAGCATTTTTGGTTCCCCAAAGAACCTTTAAGTGTTTTTTTTCTTAGTGTGAAGGACATTTTAAAAATGTAGTAGAAAAAAAGTCTAGGACAAACATTCAATGACATGACAAGACATGACTTCTGAAAACTGTATCAGAAAGAATTGAGTTTATGCTTAAAACAAGAAAAAAATATATTCCAGTGGGGTCAGAAATATAAACTTAATTCAAATGGAAACATGTTTACACCAGAAAACAAGACTTAGTGTCTAATGTAATTTTGCTGCTTATATATCTTAAATATCTTCTTATATATCTTGGTTCAGATATTTGTAATGGAGAACAAGACAAAAATATTAAGAAAGAAAATACACGTTCTTCTGTGTTTTCTGTAAAGCCAGTCATCTAAACTGCTGTACTTGATGGTCATCTATTTTTGTGTTCTCATTTCAGATTTAGCCCCTAATAAACAACACATTAAGAAAATAAAACACCCCATTATAATGCGGAATTCAGACAATTAATGTGTTTAAGCGTTAATTTTATGTTAGATAACACTTATTATAGTTCTTGCAACAACAACATGAGATTTGAATCTCTAATGCTTTAAAAACATCATAATATGCCAAAGTGTACCATATTCGTGGAATTTGTCTGAAAGCTACATGATAAATAAAACCCTGACACACACACACACACACACACACACACACACACACACACACACTCAC